TTCTCCTTCTTCTCCTTCTTCTCCTTCTTCTCCTTCTTCTCCTTCTTCTCCTTCTTCTCCTTCTTCTCCTTCTTCTCCTTCTTCTCCTTCTTCTCCTTCTTCTCCTTCTTCTCCTTCTTCTCCTTCTTCTCCTTCTTCTCCTTCTTTTCCTCCTTCTCCTTCTTCCGTCGTCGTCTCTCCTCTGCCGCGCCTCCACGGCACCAAACCTCCACAAATAACATCCACATGTTGATCTTGGGTTTGTGTTAGCGGTTGTTTACCTGCAGCATATTTACAAAGGTGATAGGTATTATAAATGACAGATAAATGGGCAAGGTTAAAATCCTTCATTTTGTTTTATGTTCCATCTGCACCGTGTGTCTCTCTGCGAGACACCGACAGCTGCTGTAATGCTGATTGAGCCTCTGTTGTGACATGTTTGTTGTTGTCTGCTGGAGAGTGCAGGGAAATGTGGTCTCTGTGAGTTTTATTTTCCTGCAAAAACAGACGCTCGTCTAAGACTGGGTTGTGTCTCTGGTAGTAAATATGAAAAGAGAAAAAGTAGACACTTTACAAAAAATACTGAGTTTAATGTGAGTGGACGGCTCTTGGTAAGAAGAGGAATAATGAACACACGGGGTTTTCAGGAGAATCAGCACCATGGACAGAGTCAGTCTGAGGAAGCCTTTGTTCCAGTCACGTCAGTTTTTTTTCTCATGTCGACTGATTTTTGATTCTTTCAGGTGGAGCTGATATCGGGCCAGCGTGACGCTCAGCGAGCCGCCCTGGAGCAGATGGCCATCAAACTGAGCAGCCTGCGCTACCCATCGTCGACCAGCAGGAGGCAGTGTAGTCAGCTGGCTAAGATCACCAGGTAAATATCTTCGGAGTCGGTGGTTTTCGTACTTTTTAAAAACTTTTGTCTCTCCCTGTAGCAGCGGTGTGGCCGACACTCAGACACAGACGCAGTCAGACCACGGCCAGTGACAAGACCCTCACTGCTGGATGGAAATGTGTTGTGGTCAAATATATGTAGAATCAAATGTATTGAGACATATATTAACTACAAAGATATATATGTCACACAGAAATGATATTTGGTAAAAAGTCCTGGAAAAAACACAACCAAGAAAGAGCAAAAATTCCTATTGTGGTTATTTTCTTTGTTGTGACAAGGAAGAAATGAGAAAACAGGACAACACACACCCTCACACACACACACACTCACTCACACACACACACACACACACAGACACAGAGAGAGAGTCAGTGTTAGCAGCAGTAATCTAGTGTGTCTGAACTGGGCGAGCAGCATCTTTGGTCACGCTGCTGTTGGGTGTTTCATCCTCGGCTTTGAGGAGCCTCCCTTCATGGTTATCACACACGCGCAGGTCGAACACACACACACACACACACACACACACAGTCTGCGTATGCAAATGAGTCCTAAATTAGTGGCAGTGACTCTGGTGTGTTGTGTCGCTGCAGAGTTTATGGCTGTTGTCAGCGTGTCCACACGGTGACTTTCATGAAGGAGAGCCGCACCATGCTGTTACACACACACACACACACACACACACACAGACAGAGACGACTGGATGTGTGTGTGTCTCTGTTTCTCATCTGATTTTGACCAAAACAAGAAACAGAAGTTGTTTATATTTACAGAGAGAACTGAAACAAATGTATGTTTGTGCACAACTGTGTGTGTGTTTGTGTTTGTTTCCTCTGTGCCTGCAGTTTTTATTGTTTCAGTCATTTGTTTTGGATGTGTTGGATGCTAATTGGTTGTTGATGTATTAGCTGCTGCTTGTACGAGTGGATGTTAGTGTGTGTGTGTGTGTGTGTGCAAGAGAGAGAGCGAGAGAGAGAGAGAGAGAGTGGAGTGTTGTATTAGTTGTTGTTTCTTTGTGTAGCTGTAGAGAACATGACTGAGTGTGTGACATTTACTGACCCAGTAAAAACCAGTGCTTTTTTAACTTCATATAAAGTCATGTTTGACTGTGGCCAAAACTACAGTTGAATCTGGTTCAAAACCAGAGCATTTCACCAAAGTCTATTTTTAATTAGATAAATATGAAATGATTCATTTGACCAGTGTAACATTTGAACATCCTCCCCTCCCGCCCCCCGTCTCCTCCTCATGCCTTCTGGGCTGAACAGAGTTCAAACACTTCAGTTCACCTCAGTTGAATTCTGTGTTCATCTGTAGGATCTGTGTCTAAATACAGTTCTATTCTATTCCAGCTTATAGTTTCTGAATCATATGTAGCTTAGAGTCAGAGAGCAAAGACTTCTGGGTATTTTCTCAGTGTTTAACCAAGTTTCTTCTCGACGATGTTCCCCAAACTGAGTCAGAAAGATTTAAGTCTTTTGTTTTTTCCCCCTGACGTCTACAAGTTAATTTATCCTTTACTTTGTCTGCAGCGCCGCTCTGTTGTAGGTGTGTGTGCGTGTGCACCTGTAGGTGCGCACGCACGTCTCTGCGTGTGTGAGTGAATTGTGCTGGAATGGCTGCGGGCCTGACAGAGCTGTCAAACTGTCGTATTTGGCGACTGGAAAATTCCAAGCAATTTCACCGCTAATGTTGAGAAACATGTTGGCGATCCCCGCCGAGACCGAAAAGCAGCGAATATATAAATAATAAACATGCAAGTGCACTGGGACGTGCATGCTCACGTACACACACATACACCTTAACAAAACGGCTGACAGTAATGTGTGTGTTTGAGCAAACGGCCTCTGTTCCAGCAGCATAAATATTTGATGTGATCCTGTGTCGATGAGGAACGGGGGGGGGTGGGGGTAAGAAGATTTGTCAGGAAAGAGAGAAAAGTCAGACAAATGAGGGAAAAAAAAGGAAAACAAGGAAAGGGATATTAGGGAAAAAGGAAAGAAAACTCTGAAGAAATGAAAGGTTCTAAAGTCTAAAGAGTTTAAAAGAATTATTATAAATAAAATGTCTTTGTCTTCAAAACAAACCATATCTGATGAGTGCTGATATAATGGAACATTTAGAGGGGATTGATTGGCTGTTTCAGCTGATTGGTGTCATTGACCTACACTGATCTACTGCTAAGACTAAGAACTTTTCTGGTTCCACAGGTTCCTGAAGTTCCCACAGTCAGTCAGTTATACAGTCTAACTTCTCTCTCTCTCTCTCTGCCTCCCTCTCTCAGTCTGCAAGAATTTGAGGCTGAGTACCAGGAGCTCTGGGATTGGCTGATGGACATGGACGCCATGGTTGTGGACAGTCACCAGCTGATGATGTCAGAGGAGCAGAGGCGTCACCTGTACAAGGTAGAGAGCGTCGGTTTGACAGAAGTTTCCACCAGTCACGTAGAAACTTTGTTCTCCGTCAACCCCCCGTCAGATGGTTGAGTCTTTGGTTTATACTGTGGTCACTAGGGGTCAGTGTGACCTCTGAACTGTGAACTGGAGGTTGTTCACAGAAATCAGATTTTTTTTTTCCGCTCAGCTTTGTGAAGAGCTGTCACATTTCAACAGAGAATGTGAATGACAAGTGTGTGACCAAAGCCAGAGCTGTCAATCATTCGACCCAACCTTGGGGTCATGACTTAAAGTGGGGTCGCCTGGAATTCAAATGGGGTCGCCTGAAATGTCTAGCAATTGATAACCATAAAAATATTTTTCCAACTAATTCCAATTATTTTGCAACACAGTTCAACAAACATCAGAATTCTCCAGTCGACCACTGACTTCACAGTGTTCACACTCCTCCATGACTGGAGTCAGCGTTCCTCTGGTCATCGTTGTAGCTGGTTTGACTGGAGGAAGAGGATTTTAAGTCATCTTGGAAGTTGGTGTTTTTGCCGATCAAGCCATTTCTGGGGTGGAACCAGATCTCTGGTCTGAGGTTCTGAGGTTCTGAGGTTCTGGTTCTGGCTCCTTGGTGACCCTTCGTCCTCAGTGTGGCTGAGGCTTTACTTTAGTCTAGAGAACCTCGCCCGTGTCATTTTGACCAACCATGTGGATCAGGGCGTGTTTGGTCGGAGCAGTTGGCGTCCATTATCTGAAAGAACTCCCCCACCCTCACAGTATTCCATCCATCCATCATAGTCTTTGTCCTCACAGTGGATTCCATGGCCCACTCTTTCACAACCATATCATAGAGAGAAGCATGTATGTGTGTGTGTGTGTGTGTGTGTGTAAAATGATTCCACTGCAGCCAAATGAGTCAGACAGAGAAGCAGCATGTGTTACGATTAGAGATCTGAGTCATCCTCCTCTGTCCTTCACGAACACACACAGAAAACAGTGTCTGTATTTGACTACACTGTGTTTCATTTAACAGTCTCTGAAATGCAGATCCTCTTCTCCGTCTCAGCGTGAGATGATTGACACCATCCGTAGGTCTGATCCAGACTGACTCTGAAACAACGTCAGACCAATAACCAGTGCAGCTTCATCAGCTATAGTGAACAACAACAAACACTCACTCCGATGACCATCTATAAACTGTGTGTCAGTCTGTCAGTAGTTCACCGTACCACACTAGGTCACAGACCAAATCCATTTTATTTTCTTGACCTTTTCATGTTCGTTCTACATCAGGGGCGTCCAACCAGTCAGAGGCTCAGAGCCACCATTCTTACTGTTTTACTGCAAAGAGGAGCATGACGTACATGGGCACACATGAACTGCTCCATCCCTTTAAAAAAATAAACAAAATAAAACTTCCTGTAAACATGTTTTCATCTTTGGGTTTTCCCAAAGTAATTTGTGACAACACCCATCGGCATGAGAGTGAAAAAACACAAACATAAACTTTGACATGAACGTAAGAGCCACAGGTCGGTCATAAACTTTGACATGAACGTAAGAGCCGCATGAGCCACAGGTCGGCCACACCTGTTCTACCAGCTGCCCCAGATAAACGTCTCTGTGAACCACTCTATAATAAACTCAAAGGAAACTAAAGGTTTTCTCAATGACACAAACTGACCACAGGGGGCAGCAGTGGAGCCACAGCTCTCTCTGGACTCTGGTGTGACTGGACCAACGTCAGTCCTTCAGAAACTCCAACTCTCATGAATGTGTTTTAATGACGACGTCCCCACCTGTTTTCACTTTGAGCCAGCCTTCCAGCTCCTAGCAGCAGGGGGCGCTCTGAGCGTAAATCACTGTTGACTGCTTGACATAATCCCTTTAATAATGTAGCCATGTAAAAGTCCCAGCCAACACGTGTAAACACACAGACCAACACTGACCTCAAACTAACCTCCCGCCACACATTAATGTTTGAAGGCAGGTGCCCTCAGACATGGAACTGCTGACGACTCAGACTCTGCTTACCCACAAGGCATTGCAGCTCACAGCAACACACACACACACACACACACACACGCACAGACAAACACAGAGCTTGTTCCTCTTTCTATTAACTTTTCTCTGGGAGGTTGTGTGTGTGTGTGTGTGTGTGTGTGTGTCACTCTACTGTCTACATCAAATGGAGCAGGAGAGAAGAATGAGGTTCGTTCCTGGTGTTTATGTACATGGTCACAGTGAGCGGCTGAAGGATGATTTATATCCACACATCAGCCAAAGAAAGTGTATAGACGTGTGTGTGTGTGTGTGTGTGTGTGTGTGCGTGCACGTGCACGTGGGCTGTCAGCCATGACTTATTCAGCAGCCATTGAGACTCACCTGGCCTGCGAATTATTGATAAGTGTAAAGATGAACCTAATTTCTCCACGGGAGTTGGTGCGCTCAAATATTCATCTGTGTATGAATATTCATGCTGCTGATGATGTGCACATGAATTTTAGATGATTCTGGAATCGCCGGACATTCTTCTCCTTCTCCTTCACTCCCTCCTGCTCCTCTGTCTCTCCCCCTGTCTTTTTTTTTCTTGATGTGTCAACTCCGCTGTTAAAATATTGATGTGGAGCTCGACAGTGAGCGTCTCCTCGCTCGCACAGACCTCTCAGCTCCCAAACCAGCCCTTTGTCCACCCTCCATAGTCCTCACAGCTCCTGCCATCTCTCTCTCTCACTCTCGCTCTCTCTCTCTCTCTCTCTCTCTCTCTCTCTCTCTCTCTCTCTCTCTCTCCCAGGTCTGCTTCAGTCCTACCTATAAGGGCTGTCACCTAGTGTCCAATAATTATACAAACTAGCATTTTTGATTTTAGTTTAAATTTGAATGACGTCATTGATATTGACGCCCAAACGATCACAGAAGTCGCCCAGCCCTGACTTACTGATCGTCAAATGTTAAATGTTTAACTGTTAACTGTTAATACTGAGGTTTGGAAGTTTGAATCGTCAACATTTCCAACGCTTCACATGAGAATGAAAACATTTCTACAACAACAACAGTCTTGTATCACAGCTGCTGCTAACGACTGCAACCAATCTCCCCACCCCCCCCCCGC